AGGCACAAGCTCGGTACTTGAGCCAAAACATTGGCATTGATGCGAATTGCAAAACTCTACATGCAAAGGAAAACTACTACAGTACTGGCCCTGGCAGCTTTGCACATGCAGCGTGCGTGCATAGACCTGCTCACATTCGCCCCTCAGCCGAGGCTTCCAGCTCATCTCGAGCTCGGAGTGCAGCAGGCACTCGCGCTGAACACAGAAAGGGAAGGGAGAGGGTGTCGCGTGCGACCGCGGTGGTCCGCACATCATGAGCATTGGCATGCGGCAGGGACGCTAGCCCGCACCACCAAAACGAACGCACGACGACAGCAACCCTCAGCAGCCCTAAACCAGCCCTTTCCCTGAAGGTCCTCACCCTTTTGCTGGTGGGCGAGGCTCTTGAATCCTCGAGCTGGTCTCTAGCTGCCAGTACGCAGACTATGGTACAAATGGTACACTGTACAAACTACCGGCCCTAAGCTACGGCTACGGCTACTCACCTATCCAGAACTACCCTACGGGCTACCGGACTCAGCGAGAGCCGCGCACATTGCTTGTGCCGCAGCCAGTGCAACTCGCACGCGCTTCGGCGAGCGCACTGCCGCGACCAGGACACGGTCCGCAGCACCTGCAAAAGAGCACCCTCGACAAGAGGGGCCACAGGCAGGGCGGAGAAGAAAAGTGCGGGGAATGCAAAACGGGCAGGCTTCCAACCTGCCGCGGCCTTTCGCCCGCAGTCACGCAAAAGAAAGTGCAAAAGGTTGGCGAAGCAACGTGCCGTGTTGCGACGCCCGCTCTGATAGTGCGTGGATACATACCACGCCGCGCCAACTGGCCGCAGCCTACTCGATACCCTGTGGAGCAGTGTTGGGGGCACGAGCGGCGTTGCCAGCAACGTTGGAGCTACTGGCTCGCTCCAACTGAGGGCGCTTCGCAACCGCCTCATCGAGGGAGAATGCCTCAGCCGACACCCTCTGGAAATCCTCGACGTAGGACTGCGCGACAGGGTGCGTCTTGGGGACCTCAAGCTTAAGCCCTGCCTCCGCATTGGCTTTGCTGCTTGTGGTAAAATTGAGGCTCCCAATCAGCACCACCGCGCCATCAGGCCGCAGTAGGCAAAGGGCCTTGGCATGGTGCAGCCCTTGAATCCCGGTGCCCACCTTAGCCCCGCGGCCGTCGCGAGCGTAGGCGTCGCGCAAGGATGTGCCGCAACCCACCTTCACCTCGGCACCTGCGGCCGCCAAGCGTTTCAACGCTTGCCACTGAAGCTTG